TGTGGGAGCCCCGTGATCCTGGATGCCGGCGATCGGCGAACAGCCTGGGCGCCCACTCAGTTCCCGTCCGACGCGTCAACGATGCCCCCCGGTTGGGCTGCCGACCCGTCTCAGCAGTCGAGCTCACGCCCCCACCCGAGCGGGGGGGGTCTGGCGCGCTTCGCATGGACGCAGGGGCTGCCGCGTGGCCGCTCGAGGTGCCCGCCCGCATCGAGTCGCTGGCAGGGGAAGGAAGACGAATAGGGGCGAAAGGGCCCCTCGAAACCAGCTGTAGGGTGGCTTCGTTGTCCCGCTCGTCAGGGAAAGGCTGCTCGATGGTATCCTCGACGGTCTCCTCCCCAGCAGTGGGGCCCCCTTCCTCCTGCGACTCGCGACTATCTTCAAACTCTTCCGGGCGGAAGCGACTGACCGTCGCAGAAGCTATTGGGATCCGAGGCGGTTGGGCGTTCCCAGGGGTCGCGTCGCCAGTGGGTCGCGTTGGACGGTCGGCAAGGTCCTCTCTGTCTTTTCTCTGCCCCTTCCCCTGCGGCTCGCGACCCATGTCGCACCCCTGTGTAGGTGACGAACTATCGCAGAATCCCTTGGAATCCGAAGCGGCTGGGTGTTCCCAGGGGTCGCGTTGCCAGTGGGTTGTGTTGGACGGTCAGCAAGGTTCTCTCTGTCTTCTCCCTGCCGCTCACGCTGCGACTCGCGACTATCTTCACACTCTTCCAGGTGGAGGCAATTGACCGTCGCAGAAGCTATTGGAATCCGGGGCGGCCGGGTGTTCCCCGGGGTCGTGTCGCCAGCGGTTTGTGTTGGACGGTCGGCAAGGTCCTCTCTGTCTTCTTCCTGCCCCTTCTCCTGTGGCTCGCGACCCATTTCGCAATCTTCCCGGTGCAGGTGACTAACCATCGCAGAATCTGTTGGAATCGGAGGCGGCTGGGTGTTCCCAGGGGTCGCGTTGCCAGCGGGTTGTGCGGGACGGTAGGCAAAGTCCTCTCTGTCTTAAGCCCCTCACCCTGCGACTCGCGACTATCATCGCATCCTTCCCGGTGGCGGCGACTGGCCGTCGCAGAGTCCGTTGGAATCCGAGGCGGTTGGGCGTGCCAACGAGGTCGCGTTGCCGGTGGGTTGTGTTGGACGGTCGACAAGGCCCTTCCTGACTTATTCCTGCTCCTCCTCCTGCGATTCGCGACAATATATTCGCGCTCTTCCTGGTGGAGGCGACCCATTTCGCAACCTTCCCGGCGTAGGCGACTAACTGTCGCATCTCCAAGAATCATGGGCAGCGAGGGAAGAGAAAAGTCAGTCTCAGGGGAAACGCCCAGCGCGGGCGGGGCGCCAGCCGCCAGCCCACCCGTCGGTGCGCCGGGCGTGCGTCGTGGTCACGCTACCCGGCAGCTTTGTTGCTCAGCCGCGCAAGCCAGGCTGGCCGTGGGGCTGGCCGTTGGGCTGGCCGTTGGACTGGCCGTGTGGCTGGCAGTCGGGCTGGCCGCGGGCCTGGCGGTCGGGCTGGCAGTCGGGCTGGCCGCGGGGCTGGCAATCGGGTTGGCAGTGGGGCTGGTTGCGGGGCCGGCAGTCGGTCGGGCAGGCCGCAGGGCTGGCCGCGGGGCCGGCCGCGGGGCTGGCAGTCGGGCTGGCCACGGGGCTGGCCGACGGGCTGGCCGTCAGGCGGGCCGACGGGCTGGCCGCGGGGCAGGCCGTCGGGCTGGCCGGGGGGCAGGCCGCTGGGCTGGCCGCGGCGGCCGCGCTCCGCCGCGGCGACGCCAGCCACCGCGCCCTCCGCCGCCGCCGCCGCCGGCGAGGAGCCGGCAGCGACAGCGACAGCGGCAGCAGCAGCGGCAGCCGCGACAGCGGCCGCGGTGCCGGCCACGGCGCTGCTGGCCGCCGCCTCCGCCGCGTCGGGCCGGCCGAGGGGCTGGCCGCGGGGCAAGCCGCGGGGCTGGCATTTGGGCTTGCCACGGGGCTGGCCGACGGGCTGGCCGTCAGGCTGGCCGCGGTGGCGCGCCACGGTTAACGCGGCGGCAGCCGCCGCGCCAGCCGCGGCGGCGGCGGCAAGCGACAGCGCCACTGCGCGCGCCACCGCGGCGGCGGTCGCGGCGGGGCAGCTGCGGCCGGCCGCAGCGACGGCGGCGGCGCCAGCGGCAGCGGGCGGCGGCGCCCAGCAGCGCGGCGGCGGCGGCGCTGGCCAGCAGACCACCGGCGGCGCCCAGAGGCCGGGGGCCGCGCCAGCCCCCAAGCGGCGCCGGCCGGCAGCGCCAGCGGCGGCCGCGGCAGCCGCCGCGCAGGCGAGCAGGCCAGGAGGCGCTGCGGCGGCGCCGGCGGCAACGGAGGCCCGCGCGAACGCCAGGCGCCACGGCGCCCGCGTCTCCCGCGGGGGCCCGCAGCGCGGGGAGCGCCAGGGGCGCCAGCGGCGCAAGCGGCGGCGGCGCCGGCCAGCAGGCCGCCGGCGGCGCCAGCGGCCGGGGGCCGCACCAGCCCCAGCGCAGGAGGCCCTGCAGGCCCCAGGCGGCGCCGGCCGGCAGCGCCAGCGGCGGCCGCGGCAGCCGCCGCGCAGGAGGCGCCGCGGCGGCGCTGGCGGGCCGCAGCGCGGGGAGCACCGGCGGCGCCAGCTGCGCGGGCGGCGACCGCAACGCGAGTCATCCAGGCGGCCGCCCGCTGCCGCTGGCGACGCGCCGCGGCGGGCCCCATCGTCGGGCGAGCCCGAACCTGGCCGGGGGCGCGCCGAGATGGCGGGGGCAGTTTTTTGATTGGCGGCTCCAAGGACAGATGCAGAGAGCGGGACGGTCTCGGCTGGGGCACAGGGCGAAACAATTAGCAGCAACGGCGCATAGGCCGCGGCAGCGGGTGCACGTGCCAGGGACAAAATGACCCTCATTAAGATGCGGGCGACCCGTGAGCGTAGACGCAGGCATCAGAAGGAAACAGACGGAGGAGAAGTCGCACAGTGGCGCCAGCTCGAACCGTACCGACCAGCGCGCAAGGGCGTGGGTCACGCTGCGCTGTGGCAGCACGGAGGGCCAGTGAGGCCGCACCGCCCATCACGACGAGGAGGCGAAGGAGCGAGGAAAGGCGGCGGGCACGAGAACACGCGCGGACAGAAGAGGGGGGGAACCGAGGAACGCCTCACTCACATGGAAAATCGGGCATGAGCGACCGACCAATGGCAAGGAAACGTCGCCCCTGTCGAGCTGGCAGGGCCGGCAGGGCCGGCAAGGCCAGCAGGGCCGGCAGGACCGGCAGGGCCGGCAGGGCCGGCAAGGCTGGCAGGGCCGGCAGGGCCGGCAGGGCCAGCAGGGCCGGCAGGGCCGGCAGGGCCGGCAGGGCTAGCCGGGCCGGCAGGGCCGGCAGGGCCGGCATGGCCGGCAGGGCTGGCAAGGCCGGCAGGGCCGGCAGGGCCGGCAGGGCCGGCAGGGCCGGCAAGGCGGGCAGGGCCGGCAGGGCCGGCAGGGCCGGCAGGGCCGGCAGGGCCGGCAGGGCCGGCAGGGCCGGCAGGGCCGGCAGGGCCAGCAAGGCCAGCAGGGCCGGCAATTATAATTAACTGCGCAGCGACCCGCAATGCCGGCAGGGCCAGGGCCGGCAAGGCCTGCAGGGCCGCCATGGCCAGCAAGGCCAGCGGGGCCGGCAAGGCCGGCAGAGCTGGCAGGGCCGGCAAGGCCGGCAAGACCGGCAGGGCCTGCAGGGCCGGCAAGGCCGGCAGGGCCCGCAAGGCTGGCAGGGCCGGCAGGGCCGGCAGGGCCGGCAGGGCCGGCAGGGCCGGCAGGGCCAGTTGGCAAGGGCAGCAGGGCTGGCAGGGCCGGCAGGGCCGGCAGGGCCGGCAGGGCCGGCAAGGCCGGCAGGGCCGGCAAGGCCGGCAGGGCCGGCAGGGCCGGCAGGGCCGGCAAGGCCGGCAGGGCCGGCAGGGCCGGCAGGGCCGGCAGGGCCGGCAAGGCCGGCAGGGCCGGCAGGGCCGGCAGGGCCGGCAGGGCCGGCAGGGCCGGCAGGGCCGGCAGGGCCGGCAGGGCCTGGCAGAGCCGGCAAGGCCGGCAGATAGCCGCGCAGCGACCGGCAATGCCGGCAGGGCCTGCAGGGCCGGCAAGGCCGGCAGGGCCGCCATGGCCGGCAAGGCCGGCATGGCCGGCAGGGCCGGCAGGGCCGACAAGGCCAGCAGGGCCGGCAGGGCCGGCATGACTGGGAAGGCCGGCAGGGCCGGCAAGGCCGGCACTGAGATGAATGTCGGCTTTGTTAAGGCTTATGAGCTTTATAACGAGTTGCTAAGATTGTTACAACGTTCATACAACCCTCTCACAAAGCAGCAACAAGCTGCTGTAGCTAGTAAGCTGGTTTGTCATAGTTAGCTAAAGCCAGCATGGTTTTCATTACTTCAACATAGACTGTATAAAGGTTTATCGGTTGCTGAATAGTTTATGGTTTATGTTGGATAAATATGATAAATTTGATAACTCATTCATCTCATGTTAACATAACTGCTTATGTTAGTTTAACGTAGTTTTTTGTTTGAAAATTTGAAGTCCAACAAATAGATGCTAAGTTAACATAAATTCTCGAATAGGCGAACACGATGCTCAGAATAGGCTAACATGAAAAATTGTTCCGAAAAATGTTGACCTCGTTTTTCTCAAAGGCCCAACATGAACAGATCTCCACGTTTCAACATAGCTCCCGTTGCAAACCAAACGTTGAAATTTTTCGAACCAAACATGGCTCCCGTTGCCAACCAAACATAGCTCCCTTTGCAAACCCAGCTCATGTTGGGAATCCAAAGAACATGTCAGAACTCATTTGTCGGTGAACAAGCTCTGAAAAACTTGGTGAGCTTTACCCAGGGATAGTTCGGAGGACTCAACATCAGCACGCAGAGCAGATATTCAACATTGAATTGTGAATAAGAGGTATGGGCATCGGACACGACGATTTCGAGAAATATTTTGTGATTGTGCAGTTGCATTCTACCATCCGTAGTTGCAGAATTTTCGGCTTAAGGCATTCGCTATAGCTTCCAGCAGCTTTCTTCAGCTATGTCTCAGCTTACGGAAGCTTTCAAAACTGAGTTCCAGAAGATTTTGAGTTTGAAAGAGATGAAGGCGAACGAGCATATGGATATGCTGATGACCTGCCTTCTGGCACACAAGTTGGCGTACACCGTGAACAGTATCGAGCCGAATTTTTTTCTCGCACACAGTGCGAACCGTGGAGGGCTTCTTCTGAGCCCGCACAGTGTGCATCGCAATGCTGCTCGGATCCATGCAGCTGGTGCCGACATGCGCCAGCTATCAAATGCCGTGCGCATTGAGCTTGGAGTCAATTCGCCCGTCCGTTGGCAGCACGTTGCTAAGAACAAGGCGCTGGTGGACAGAGCCGATGGGCTTCTAGCGCCAGTTAATGGCTCCGAGCGGTACGTTACAGTCGGGTGTGGACACACCACGGCTTTCTGCAAGTTGGCAGGGGTGCAGGGCAGGACGTCGGAGAAGTCATTGCAGATGGCTGACTCAGATTCGATTGACGTGCAGAAGTTGTCCCAGAATGCGCAATTCAAAGCCATGATCGAGAAAGGCTGGGCGTGGGAGGTGGTCCCAAGCATCATTGACGAGCTGTTCCCAGGTTTCGCTTCAGTAGCCCAGAAAGCTTTAAACACTCAGAACCACATCGGCACGGAGGTCGGGGAGCTGGAGACCTGCACGACGTTGGCAGCGATTGCTAATGACCCAGGGATGCGCCAGGTTGCGGATTGGAAAGCCATGGCTATCGAGAACGTAGTTTCGCTCAACATACCGAGCGCAAAGTACAGCAAGACATTGCTTGAGTTTGTTGAGAATTTCGGCGGTGGCGATGGCGCTCCTCTCGTGTCGTTCATGGACTCGGTTGCAAAGCAACTTGGTTGCAACGCCACGTTGGGGCAAGCTTTCTGGGAATCGATTACGAACGCAGCTTTCGCATCGAAAACCAACATGTATCCTTTGACTCGGGTGGCACTTGCAATTGCAAACCTCACGGGCGACAAGGTTGAGGACGGCGTGGCGCGCTTGCTTGTGAAGAATGACGTCACGAAGGTTGCTAGCAAGCCTAAGACGGCTGAAGCAAATACTGCTGAAAGCATTCTTGGCGAAGCCATGGATATCGCCAGGGGGCTTGATGGCATCGATGCGGCGTTGCAGCCATTAGGGCAGCTATTCGTGAGGATCGCGTTGAAGCTCACAGGTAAGGAGAAGATGGGTCGGGAGGGCAAGTAGCTTAAGTGGGGCGACATCTGCATTTCATTCCTGACCAGCCTCAGCGACCTCAAGGGTCAGACGGTAACTTTCGACGAGCGGTCTAAGCATGCGGTCTCGAGCGGCGCTGCAGCCGCTGCCAAAGCGAAGCCGAGTGCATCCAGCACGGCGACGCTCAGCGACCATAAGGACCCGACATGGATTGCCAAGAAGGCTGGGTATTCGGTCGGGTGTCTAGTAGTCCAGAAGGACGTTGCAGCCCAGAGGCTTTACACTATCTTCAGCATCGGCCAGGCTGTCAAGCTTCGCGAAGCTATTAACCACGACGCGAGCCGAGAGGCACACACGGCTGATATTACATTTGAGGATCTTCTTCAGAAGTGGTCAATCTCTAAGGCTGCACTGTCAAAACAGATGGATGGTGATCAGCAGCGCCCGCAGCAGCTGTACATCGACAAGCAGAAGGCTGCGTTGTACCGAGCTCTCCTTGAGCTAGATGCCAAGCACGTGGGCAAGCATAAGCTGACGTTCTGGCGGAAGCCAGATGGGGTGTGGACTACTAGCGCGATCAAGCAGGGCCAGCTTACGTTGGTCCCAGTGGCACCACTCATCAACATAAGTGCGAAGAACAATGGGTCTGGCATTTCACTTGGCGAGCATGCGATTGACAAAGACACAAAGGTTCACTTTTTTGTGTTGCCTATATCTAAACCGCAAGACAATGACACCAGCACCCAGTTCGATGAAGCTGCATTGGTGGCTGCACACTGGTGGGTCGCGCCAACCTACGACAAGAAGCAAACCAACATGGCTACGAGCCACGTGTCACACGGTGGCTTAATGTTGCCAGTGCTGACCAACACCACCGACATCGGGCCCAATGTGAAGCTCTAGATGCTCGCCAAGCCCAAGGCTAAGGAGGTGCCAATCCATGAGCAGGTCGCCAAGAAGCAGAAGAGGGCTTGAACAGCATCCATCAGCCACGGGTGCTAGTCTGCAGAGGGGTGCGTTTTGCATCGCACTTTTGTAATCTCTCGAGCTCTACTCCAGAGCATCCCAGCACTCTGCAGTGCTATAGTCATATGCTGCCGCGCAGTAGCAGGGGAGAGCAAGGAGGAGCGAGGATGAGGTCGAGCTGTTGCCCCGTCGGCTAGCACGAAGCTTTGATGTCGGGCACATATATTTTGCGTGCGAACGGGTTTACCAGCCATGCGCTTATCAGGCAGTTGACGCAGTCTTTATGGACAATCGCACTTGCACCGACAAAGAAAAAACATGGCGGGTGTGTAGCGAGATGCGGCGGGAGGTCAGCACTTGCTGATCTGATCCTGACTGGTCGCCCACAGTCCTTTGGCATGCAACCGTCCGCATCATACATCCCCTCAAGCCCGCGCGCCCCCACCGTTGCCCTCATTGGCCATGTCTCCCCATCGGCAACGTCTTTGCGTTCAGGGCGGCGCCGAACCAGGGGGGGGGGGGGCAGGAGAGATGATGATGAGGGGGATGTCACAGAGAGTACGAGAGAACGAGAACGAGAGAATATAGGGTGCATGCTGACTTCAGTGAGTCCGTCCGAATATATTGCAAGGGGCATGCGAAGACAGCCAACGGCGAAGCGAATGGCATCGGGTGGCAACTGGCATGCTATGTGATGCCATGCGGGCGGCCCTCTTGGGCTCACCCTGCGTATGCTATGGCATGCCATGCTTATCCAGCCCCCGAGCGTTCGAGGACTGTCCAGACCAACGAGTTGATGCGCCATGCGGTGCAGATGAGCCTAAGTGTCAGTCGCATCTGTCGTCGTTCTCCTCACCCCCCTCCCTTCTCCTTACCCTGGCTCCGTGGCCTCTCTCGCCCATCTGACGTCGTCCACGTCGCGTCCCCTTTCTAGGACGCAATCGAACCTCAGCCGTTAGGCTCAAACGACCAGGGATAAAGCATCACGGCTTGCTGTTAGCATAATGCAGAAAGCAACGCTTGAACTTTCTCGCACCGTCAAGCTAGAGGGGATAAAGCCAGTTTGGCGGATTCACAGGCCATATGATATGGCGACTGCCGGCGATGGCACGTTTGTCCGAATCTCACCTGCGCAGTATACACTGAACAGCCTTTTGGCTTATAGGGACGATGACCTCCCACGCGGGCTGGAGCAGCAGGCAATGGTTCTGAGCAGGGGGCTGAAGTCGTTGATAGCCCAGCGGAATGAGAAGCAGTCGGACGAGCTCAAGCAGGAGCAAACCCAGGCAAAGGCCGCTCTGTTCAAAACGCCACCGAAGCAAACGAAGCTTGTGAGGACTCACGCCGAGAAGGTTGACATGAGGCGTGATCCTGGTGTCATGTGCCTCGAGGTGGTAGTTCACGATAAGGCTGTTCACATTGACGTTCTGAGGCCAACTCACCCGTGTGACAACCTCTTCGTTGCGTACGAGCCCGAGGCTTTGGCTGCGGCAATTCACATTATGAGGACAATGGGGTTCGATGAGCCGCAGAAGCGAGATCGATTGCCTGATCTGCCTAAGGGTGTCCACCACAGGAACGGCTATGTACTTGCAAAGTTCCCAAGGAGCACAGATGGCCTGAACGGCTACGGCTACAAGAAATGCAAGACGGTTGAGGATGCGGTACGGTTCCTCACGCAGCCGCAGCCCCCCGATGGTGGGCTCCCCGATGCGGGCGATGAGCCCCCCGATGCGGCTGGTGAGCTTCCCGATTCGGATGCAGAGCTTCCTAATTCGGGTGCTGAGCCTTGCCATGCTGGGCTTCCCGAGCATTCCCATGACTAATGCTGCAAGTGTATATATATGCACTAAGCCTTGAGGCTGGCAGCGCCCGTATGATTGGGGTCTGCGGGCTTAGCACTTCGCTCACCGAGTATGAAAAACAGTCATTGCTCATCAAGCCGATTGGCTGCGTTGATGCGTTTCCGTTTGGGGCTTGGGGTCGGGGACTACCATTGTAGTTCAGCCGTTATGCTTCAGAGGCTCCTCCCCCCAGCGCTTGCGCGCTTCGTCCGTTTCATCAGCCACCGCGCGGTGGCTCCCAAGGGCGCCCACCAGGACAGCAAGGCCGCGCTGAAGCAGCAGCTGAAGGACATGAAAGCCAGCCGCAACGAACACAAAGAGCGCGCAGCTGCGCTTGGGCGATTCGCGAAGGTGATCGCTAACAAGGTGGAGACCAATAAGCATGTTCGCGAGATCTTCGCTGACGTCAGGAAGTTGCACACCTTGACTGAGGGCACGTCGACGCAGACCAAGCCGACTAGCCTCGGGCGCCTGCAGAGGTTGTCGGCTCTCCCCGAGGTCGTGGAGGCAGAGGCGGCGGACGCAGCCCCCCCTGGCGGTTGGGGCACAAGCTCGTCGTCATCGAGCTCGCAGTCGTAAGCTGCATGGCGCAGCTGGTATGCCCGTGGGCAACAACTCTCTGTGGACTGTGATCGTTGTTGCGTGATGCTGTCGACATTGTGGGTATCTTCGAGGGCGGCTGTCGCCCATGAAGATGCACGCAACGGCGATAACAAGCCACTGCAGCGATCACAGACCACAGCTCATGGGCCTCAGTGGCTATTTCACGATGTGCCATGCGTTCGCCCGTAGCCACCATGGTGCTATTTGCGCTCGAAGCGATCACGAGTTCATTGTGCTGATGTTGTGGTCTCGCGCTGTGATCTTGATACAATTGCGAATGAGGAGGAGGAGGGGGATGAGGAAGGTGAGGATTAGTTGCGTGATGCACCCGATGCTGTGCTATGCAGAATGCCATGCAATCGGCCCAAACCTCAGAATGCTACGTTATATGCAATGCTGTGCTATGCATGTGGCTGGCTTTTTCTGAAGCAGTGTAGCATATATGTCCAGCCAGACCCCAATGCCAGCATTGATTCGCCAGCCAAGCACTTTCAGTTCGTCTATGATGTCCTCCTCCTCACCCCCCTCCCTCCTCCTTCTCCTGGCACCGCGTCCTCTCTCGCTCATCTCATGGGGTGGCCCCCCCGCCTCACCCCCCCGCAATATGTCATCTCAGCACATCGCTATTCAGAAAATCAGAAGACATTGCTCCCACACAATGTAGCGACGCGATCTTCACCCGCAGTTGCGGAGGGCGGGGAGGAGGATGGGGGTTGAAGGCGAGGAAGCTGGTGATGAGGTTGATGGCTATGATATGGTATGCCAATAATTTGGTGCAAACCTCAGATTGTCATGTTATGCTTGTGGCGCGATGCAATGCTATGCTCTGCGCGTTTAGACCATGTCCAGTCTCAACCCCCCACCCAAAATCTCAAAATGACATCTTTAAAGCAGGCTCAGTCCATGTGGGTCGTCGTTCTCCTTACCCCCCTCCCTCCTCCTCCTCCTGGCTCCGTGGCCTCTCTCGCTCATCTCATGGGGCGCCCCCCCGCCTCACCCCCCTCACATGTCGTCGTTCGCAACAGCATTCAGAGCATGCCACGCATGATGACACGCCACAGGCCGTGGACATGGGTAACGCCCGACGCCCGCAGAGTCACCAAGAGCACCCCGATGTTGTTTCATAGGTGTCATTGTAGTTTCATATGATGATTCGGTTTCGGTTGGGGCCTCAGGTAGGTTGGTCTTATGTTCGATCGGGTCGAACAGTTGAGCTGGACCTCCAAAAGTTATGTTCGGTTGGGTCGACCATCCGATTCGGGCCCCCGAAGGCAATGTTCGATCGGGTCGAACACTTGATTTGGGCCCCAAATGGATATGTTCGATCGGGTCGAACATCTAATGTGGGCCCCGAAGGTCTTATTGGGGCCTCAGATGTTATCTGGTGAGGCCGCATTGGGACTCATGCACTGGGGCAACCCAGTCAAGACATCCATGCCTCATCCGCGCCTCCCCCCCTCCACCACACCTCCTCCGTGTCAGCCGTTTTGGCTCCAAGCGCTGCTTCGAGCAGCGGCTGATTGCACATCGGCGGCGCGCCTTTCTTTCGCGCGGCATCGCCATCTGGTTGCAGCGCCATGGACGTGTTCAAGAAGGACCTCATGCTCGAGAGGAAGCTCTCGTTCCCGAGACAGCCTGACGGTCCTCCTCCGACCAAGCTGCGACTCACGACGCGATCTGCAGTTGTCAGCCTGGACTTGGCAACGGTCTGCGAGCGAGTTGGCGCCATGGAGTACAATCCATTCAGGCATGCCACCCTTGTCGTGATGGCTGACGACGTTCAGAACAGCATATTTCTTCAGTCATGCAACGATGAGGTGCTGGAGACGGTCCAAGCTACGGTTGGCAGCTACTTCAACACGGGGGTCGCTCACTACGGCGGTTTCGCGTGGAAGTCCACGCAGAAGACCCACGGCGGCGACGGGGGCTCGCTGTACATCTTCCGTTGCGAGGACGGGTGGTGCGGCAGCGACGCGATGTGGACGACGGTCGCCGAGCGCAAGAGCTACCAGCAGGCCGCGACGATCATGTTCTGGAGCGCCAGCGCAGGCGCGGACTTCGAGGACGCACCGCCAGGCGCTCTACACTTTCCATGGTGGAGCGCGTCGGAGTCGGACGGGATCCAGATCCTCAGCGGCCAGGCGGCGTACGAGGCCGTAATCATTCAGAAGGACGACGGCGGCGGCAGCCTCAGGGGCGGCGGCGACAGCTCAAAGGGCGGCGGTGACAGCTCTAAGGGCGGCGGTGACAGCTCTAAGGGCGGCGGCGGTGACAGCTCTAAGGGCCGCTCCAAGGAAGAGGCGCCTCGCGGGAAAGGCGGCCATGGCGGCTGGATGCCGCGGCTGGCGACGCTCATCACCGACTACTGGCGCAAGGACTGGGCCGCCTTCGAGACGCACGCGAAGGAGTGCTGCGATGGCTCTCCCGCCCTCCGCAGGCTTCTCGGCTGGGATTAGGCTGCCATGATCGGTTCAGCGTTTGACTACAGAG